CGACTTAGTGGACCGGAATACTACTTACCATTATAATAATCTCACAGTCTTCTTTTTTTCTTTTTTCTTTTTTTCTTTCTCCCTCTTTAATTTCTTTTTATTTCAAGTTTCCATTTCAACTTTGGAAAGGGAGGGACGGAAGAAGGGGGTGAGGGACGGAAGGGGAAGAAGAAGTAGTACTTCGCCAAAATCGTTTTAGCGTTCTCAGTAGTAAGTAATGGGAACAGTTAAACTCAAGGAAGTGTTATTGTTGTATGAACATACTCTTTTAGATAGAACCGACAAATGATAATGAACTGACAGTGGAATGGTATCACAATGGTTATCCTCTCGCAAATGGTCATCGTTTCCGGAAAACGCATGATTTCGGCTATGTATCACTGGATATACTTTATGCTTTCCCGGAAGATAGCGGGGAGTGGACATGTGTGGCCACTAACAGCCTGGGTTTGTCCTAATAATACTTTTATTTTAATATGTATCAGTTTATAAACATAGAATATCAAATTACAACTTTTCTATTTGCTTCTTTCTAATCTTGATTCTTCAACTACAGGCGAGGCACAGTCTTCGGCCTCTTTCAATGTTATCGGCAACAAAGTCATTTACGATGAAAGTCAACATCCAGAAAGTTTGCATCGAATCCAGCAAATTGAAGCGCCAAAAGAGCTACCACCAGAGCCCGTTGAACTGAAGCCGCTAGCTCCTCAGTTTATATCACCGCTGCAAACCATCGAACGAATCGAAGGGCAACCGGCCCACTTTGAAACAAGGTACACCCAAGTGTAGCTGCACCAGTTTTCTACGAATCACGAGGAATTTAAAAATTTTCACCGATATATTTCTAAAGGTTTTCGGGCTGGTAGCCGTTTCCGGAAAAGAGTAACGTGTGAAGCAAACAAATATTTGACACTGCTAAATTATAGAGTAACACCAATCAACGATCCACAGATGAGGGTACAGTGGTTCAAAGATGGCGCTCCGCTCCTCAACAGCAACCGATTCCATCATACTTCGGACTTTGGCTTCATTGGGCTGGATATTGCATACACTGTTCCCGAAGATTCGGGCGTTTATACGGTTGTTGCAGCAAATGAACAGGGACAGGATCAAACTGAAGGATATCTGGGTGTTGAATCGAAATCTGGTAAAAACATGCTTTTACAGAATTTTGGTGAAA